AGTTAACCGTTTAATGTTTGGTGTCAAAGTTGCTCCTTCACTTTGGCAACAGTTTATGGACAAAACTTTACAAGGTATTTGCGGAGTGCAATGCTTTTTTGATGACATCATTATACAAGGTAAGACATCTGAAGAACTCTTGAAAAGATTAAAGGTTGTCCTAGAAAGATTAAAAAGTAAAAACTTAAAATTGAACAGAGAAAAGTGTAAGTTTTTTCAAACTAGTCTGCAATATCTGGGACATATAATTGATGCTCAAGGTATTCATAAAACAAAGGAAAAGGTCTCTTCCATCTTAAACAGCAAAAGACCAGAAAACGTAACAGAACTTCGCAAATTTCTTGGATTAACAAACTACTACAACAAATTTATAAAAGATTTAGTAACAATTCTACACCCACTCAACCAACTACTTAAGAAAGAATGCACACTACAATTGGACCTCAAAATGCGAGAAAAGTTTTCAAAGGGTCAAATCAGAACTAGCAAGTGATCGTGTCCTTGTACATTATAATCCTGATTTGCCTCTGGTACTAGCAACGGATGCCTCTCCGGTGGGTCTTGGTGCTATTCTTTCACATCGTTACAGCGATGGAAGTGAGAGACCAATAAGTTTTGCCTCAAGCAGTTTGACAAAATGTGAACAGCACTACAGACAAATTGACAAGGAAGCCACTGGCATCTACTGGGGGCTTAAGAAGTTTTTCCCATACTGTTATGGACGGAAATTTACTGTGATTACTGACCACAAGCCACTCGTATCCATATTCAGCCCCACAAAAACACTACCATCAATATCTGCTACTAGATTATTTAATTATGCACACTTTTTATCTGGATTCGACTACAAAATTGAATACAGAAGAACATCAGATCTTGCTAACTTAGATTTTTTATCTCGGTTCCCAACTGAGCATGCTTCAACTAAAGGCAGGGACAACTGTGACCTTTTTCAACTTAGTCAGCTCGATTCTTTTCAAATTAGTAGTTCTACAATTTCTAAGTCAACAGCCCACGACAAAGACCTTCAACCAATACTACATGCACTTGAAGAAGGTAAATCAGTGGAAGCTTTTGGATACCATGACAATGAACTAACACTTCAAGACGGATGTATATTCAAAGGATGTCGAGTTCTAATACCACAATCCCTTCGTCGGAAGGTTCTTGATGAACTTCATATCGGGCATTTAGGCATGGAGAAAATGAAATCCCTAGCCAGAAGCTATTGTGCATGGAAGAATATTGACAGAGATCTATATCTCGGTCAATATTCTTCCATGCACAATCCAATTGCTCTATAGCAATTGGCAAAATCGTGCAAACAATGCTGTTTAAAACAAAATGAACCAAGAAAGAAACAAAATCATCCATGGCTAGCTCCCCAGAGACCATGGGAAAGGTTACATATAGACTTTGCTGGCCCAATGCAAGGACAGTGTTACTTTATTATTGTGGACGCCTTTACTAAGTGGATTGAGGTAATACCAACTAAGAATACTTCTACAGAATTTTGCACAAGAGAACTTAGAAAATTATTTGCTACATTTGGTCTTCCCATGATTTTGGTTTCTGACAATGGAAGACAATTTACGTCTACCGTCTTCGAACAGTTCCTATCAGAAAACGGGGTGGTACACAAAACAACTGCTCCTTACCACCCTTCGTCAAACGGGCAGGCTGAGCGTTATGTTCAGACTGTGAAGAAGTCCCTAAGAGCAATGGAAGACGAGGGAGGGAGACTAGACGTCAAACTCTTCAGAATGATTATGCAGTTACGCCAAACCTCAAATTCATCTGGATGTGATGCATATTCCTTGATGTTTGGCAGGAAGATTCGAACACACATAGCTCTTTTACATCCTACACGTAAACAAGAAACTGAACATGTGAAACAAGCAACACGATATTTTAAGGAGGGAGACAGAGTATAAGCGAGAAATTATTCAAACTCAAAAGACAAGTGGAGTTTTGGAAGAATATTGGAAAGGGAAAGCAACCTTCTGTATAAAGTACAAATGGACGATGGAACTGTCTGGAGGCGTCATGTTGACCAATTACTCAAATGTGAAATAAAGTTACCAAAACATTTCAGAGGGGAGAATTGATGTGTTTAACTGATGTACTGACTTCAGACCATATGTGTATGTGAATTAATGATCACCTGTTACTTTTCATTTGTTTTTGTTTGTATTCGTTTTTTTCTGTTTACATTAAAGTATGAGTTTGATTCAACTGAACTAATTTAGTTATAACTAAGGCATTTGATAGTGTCAACCACACCCAACTGATAGATAAATTACTCATTTTAGGGGTTACAAAAAAATCAATAAAATGGTTTCAGTCATACCTAAATAATCGTTGTCAGTTTGTAGAAATCACACATAATCATGATAACAGAATAACAACATATTCTTCTGAAACTGAAAGGGTTAAATGTGGTGTACCCCAGGGGTCAATCCTTGGCCCCCTGTTGTTTTTATGTTATATAAATAAGTGATGCTGGTGGTGCACTCTAATGTTTGCCTCAGAACAATCTTTGTTTTTATGCAGGATACAAATCTCAAAGTATCAGCTGAGTCAGTGCAACAAGTTGAAATTTTAAGTTTTCTTGAATTGGCAAACATTGGAAACTTTCCAGAGCAAAACAAATCGAAGCTTAATCCCAAAAAAACTAATTTTTTAACTTTTAAAACAAATCAAAAACAAAAAGTTAATTAAACCAAATATCATGTATAATGCAGAAGAAATTGAACATAAACACAGTACACAGTTTCTAGGTCTAATTGTGGACCAAAATTTAAACTGGGATGAACATGTTGATAAACTCCTTTCAAAATTATGTTCAATATTCACTCTCTAGAATGTCTTATTTTTGTAACCATAAAACATTAAAAAAACATATATTATGCTATTGTCCATTCGCATTTATCCTATGGTTTGTGCCTTTATGGTTCAACTACAATAGCAAATTTGGATAGGATACTTAAAGTTCAAAAAATATCAATAAGAATAATTTTTAAATTAGAACACAACAAAACAACCAAAAACAAATTCAAAGAACTGAAAATTTTAACGGTATATGGCCAATTTATTTACGACACAATTATTCTAGCAAAAAACCGTTTGAGCACCTCTGAGACAAATTATTACCCATACAACACTCGGCATAAAAAATTCCTTATTTCAAGTAAACACAAATTAAAATTCTATGAAAAAAAACCATCCTATATGGGATTAAAATTTTTTAGGCATCTTCCTAATGAAATCAGAAATGAACAAAGCAGGAAGAATTTCATGAGAAAACTAAAACTTTATTTAGTAGAGAAAGCGTTCTATTCACTGGAAGAGTATTTTTCCACCTCCCCTCTTAGCGTTAGTAATTAATTCAGTTTTGATTATTTTCATTTCCTGGTTCTTGGTTTTTAATGTACATAATGATGCAAGATATTCAGATTTGTAAATTATTAATTTAAGATAGATTTAGTTGACGCCATTCAATGTACAAAACTGTACTTTATGAATAAAGCATATTTGATTTGATTTGATTTGACATATTAAATAATTGCCGAAGCGAATATTTTATAGGCCTACTAAGTTAGATATCTTGTTTGTATGATCCGTTTTTATAGTGATCCTGATGTATTGATTTCCCATTAACAACAACATTAGGCCTATTAGTCAGAATTCTATTCTGCCCATAGGGCCTAAGTTTAGCCTAAGTGTTAAGTTAGTTACAAGTGGGCTAGCTTGATGATATGTAGCTCGCCATGGAATTTTGCCTAGACCCCTTTTGCTAATGACTGGCACTAGGTGTTTGGTGAATCTCACCTGCTAACACTATTTTCCCATTTAAGTTAGTCTTTAGTCCTTTCGTCCCGGTTTCCCAATGTGCCTGAGTTGACTAAGTTAATGTGTTGCAGTGACTAAGTTACTTGATGTTGTTCAGAGGTCTCTACATGTGCGGATTCAATACTCGTAGCCTACTTACTAGTGCAATCCTAGTAGGGGGAGCGAGCTGGTCTAGTGGTTAGAGCGTGGGACTTCGGTGTCTGAGGTCCCGGGTTCAAATCCCGCCAAATCACCAATGGATTTTATCTAAGTGCAACCCCTAGGTCTAACCTGAAGTAATTTGAAAAACAATCCCAGGCTCGTGCCTAGCGTCCTAGGAAAAATAAAATAACGTGCAATCCATATTAAGGTTACCGTACCAATGTGTAAAGGAACTTGGGAGGGCCCACCTTCAATAAACATAGGCCAATAATTATTATTATGTTGAAATAATATGCGACTTAACGATAGGCCTACATGTGCACACCACGGGGATCACTTAAAAACTCACCTGAATAGGCTATTTGACTTGAATATGGGAGAGCATGTACTTTTATCACAATTATCACTGGTCTCAACTCTTTTCCACAAGAAAAGCCGTACTCTTCAGTACCACCCACAGCCCATCCAATCCGGTTAAACCATGTACTGATAAAAATTTCCCTGTTAAAGAGATGATACTTTTACCACTCAGTGAAGTCCGGTTAAACTGATGTCCGGTTAAGTGAGAGTCTCTTCTAAATAAAATTGTATTGATAAAGAAATCATTGGAAACTATCTGCCTATGTGATAAGCATGCTATTTGATATTTTTAACCTATATATATATAGGTAAAAAATATAGGTAAAAAATTTTAATCCTATATAGGATGGTTTTTTTTTCATAGCACTAGGTAATTGTTGGGGTCTCAGTAAAATATGTAGGCCTAATTAACTGGTCACAAAAAATAAAATTTTAATATCTTACAAAAGGTATGCTGAACTTAGTTTTACTGGCAGAACCATGAAGCTATTCGCACTTTTTCCAAAACCTGTCCTGCATAACTTGATTGTATGATATCTTGATCCGTTTTTATAGTGAACACTTTTAACTAACTTTATGGCATGACAGATCAATATATAACTGTTATAGGGTATTGTTACCTCACCCTGTATTTTTAACTGTTTCAGGAACTCAATATGACAGAAAATGTGCGTGTTCTGCCAACTGGTCCTCTATCAGATGTTTCATATCCTATTCAAGTAATTTACTGTGGAAACTGCTCTTTGCCAATAGAATATTGTGAATATCACCCTGATTATGAAAAATGTAAGCAGTGGCTTGAACAGAACTTGCCTGATGAGTTTGAGAAGTGTGTTAAACTTTCTGGGGGTGTTGGAGATGACGACGGTGGAGAAGAAAAGAAAAGACAAAAACGAGGAGGTAAAGGAATGGTGAAAGCCAAGAAAAAAGAAGATGTTCCTAAACAAGTAAGTTAAGATATTAACTTTAAAACTAAAGTGGCTATCAATTTCAATTTATGTCTATTCCAGTCAGTGCCAGATTTAAGGTACTTGTGGCCCTAGGCCAAACTACTTGAGCTGTAGTCTCCTTGTGGTGGAAATTCCCTGCAATAGGCCTAGCGGAGAAATCGTGATAATCTTCCACGGTCATCATCATTTTCATCCTCACCAGGATCGTGAATGAAATTGTGAACCTAACATCTCCCGCGGGCCACAATCACATGGAAATCATCATCGTCACCCTTGATCGCGTAGAAATCTTCTACACTTAGGCTACCCTAAATCAAGGTAATATCGTCACGGACACAGCTGACATGGGGACATCATTATCGACACCTGTGACCTCGGCAAAATCGAGAAACATCTTCCATGAGCATCATCATCGTCTCTCACTTTCGCCGATGAAACAGTGAACATTTTCCGTGGGCCACAATCAGGGGGTCATCATCATTGACACTCTCAACCGCGGCAAAGTCGTGAACATCTACCGCAGGCCGCAATCACGGGGACATTATCTACGACACTTGCGAACATGGCAAAATCGTGAGCATCTCCCGTGGGCCGCCATTGTCGTCACCTGCAATCGTGGCAAACCGATGGTAAAAAAATACCCCTGCCGCAGCAAACCTGCAGACTGAGTGAATTTCAACTTGTCTGGTTAATTTTTACTAAAATATTTCCATAAATAAGACATATTTATTCCCAATTTAAATAACATTAGATTTATTGAGTGCTTAATTTTGCTGCTATGTTGTGTCACTACTAAAATAAGGATAAAGTACAATAAAATACACACTAATGGTCTAAAATTAGTTTCCCTGAGGAGGCTATGGGGAAAGGCGACGCGGAAGTTAGACAACCGACCGAAATGAATTTAGAATTTAGACTAACTTCCTGAGTTTTCTCCGTCCGTACCCAAGTTGGCCATGGAGGGGCACCAGCCAATCAACTTTGCCGCTATGCCGCGTGACGTCAGTTCAACGCTGGACAGTGCTGCTGCCTAACGATCACTCGGGGCGTTACACAAACTGTAGTTGCGCAGTTACTGAGAAAATTCCAGCCATGCGCGTTATACTTCTGGGAACGTTGGCCTGGCTTGGCGTTGAGTCATGGTCGCCGTAATATTCCATGGTGCGGCAACTAGGCTGACGTAGAAGTTAGGAGGTTAAAACAGTTCAATATTACAGACCCTCCTTTTATAGTTGAAATAAAGCAAAGCTTTTGTAACGGTATTGACAGGGTTTCTTGAGGTTAGCAAAAACCCCAGCTGATATGTAATGGGTCTGGGAATTTTCGGGGCCGTGACAGAGGAAGGACATTGCTAGTGAATTTAACAAAACAACAAAGTCGCATCCATCCACTGTATGCCTATCTTAAAAGATGTAAAGATAAGGTTTAAAAACAATAGAGAGAAATATTTTACATGATTCAGTGTTTATAAAAGTGTTGGTAGCAATGGATAGTCTCGTCTGGAGTGAGTGCAGTGCAGAGGGATGTTGCACTAAATTGAATTTAGTACCTAGGCTGATATAACGAACCTCGATATAACGAATTTCTTTAAATCCCTTTGACCTCTCCATAAGACACAATGTATATTTTACCTCTACATAATGAACAAACCATATCAATGACCTTGATTTAACCAATTTGTCATGATCCCAGCTAAAATAAAACACCTCAATATAACAAATTTATCATCGTCAGAACCTCTACATAGCGAATTTAACCTTTACTTAACGAATTGTCTGCGTCTCTCCCGCGATACAACAAACCCCCCACCCCCATTATTGTTTTTGAACAATCAGTTTCTTCATCAAATTAAATGGAAAGGTGACGTCAACGCTTGCGCTAACATTCGTCTGCTTCATTTTACACATCCCTGTCTGCTATCGTCGCTGCGCGCGTTATGTTACAACTGAGAACTGATTTCATTCACTGAGGACTGATGACGACGTAATGTTTAGTAAAATGTGATTGGGTGATTAGTACTATATGGTGACTTGTACTATGGATGAAGAGAAACCTAAGAAAGAAAATGAATAGAAGAACAAAGCAAAGAGAAAGAATAGCAACATCGTTATCTTAACATTCCTTTTACGAGTGTTTTTATTATCTTTAAGTTGGCTAAGATTATACACTTTTATAACAACTTATCTAATATTTTTATCATTTTCAATACGATTTGTTTAAACTAAGGCAACACCAATGCTATAGTGGATGATTATAACAGTATTGACATTCCTCTGTTGTGATTTAAAGCAGTACTGTAGCCTACTGCCTCGTTATCACGAACAGTAGCTTACAAAACTCTACTGTTTTGTTTTGTTCTTTACCTAGTTTATTGATATACAATACAGTGTTGGCTGAATTTAGGTGGGTTAGAGTAAGCTGTGATTTTAAACTTATAGTTTGTAGCCTGTACCAAGGTCAATGACTAGAAATGTCATGATTGCGCAATATTAAAGATCCCTCCCCTTTAGTACCCTGGATAATCAAGGTTCTACTTTACAATGTAAACACTGTACTGTAAAGTTTTGTAGCCTAGGCTACTTTAATTGTGTTTTAATGAGGTCACACAATTGTCTACCCTATACTATAGGTCGACCTATTGACTGATGCTGGTTCTGAACCTCGACTTAGCGAGATTCCTGCAAACCTAACCTCAATACGAACCTCGTTTTAACGAAATCCTTGATATAACGAATATTCAGTTCGGTCCCCTCAGATTGGTTATACCGAGGTTGGACTGTATTAAATTTATGTTTGTCATACTGCTTCAAAAAAGCTGTTTTAGCGAATTTCCCATATAGGGAATAAGCTAATACCGTAGTACTCATGGTAAGACCTGGACCCGGGACCGATTTAATTTTTTGTTTTGAGGTCCCTAGAGGCCAAAAACACCATCCGTTCAAATTCATATACGGTATATATATATAGATACTGGGTGGCGCAAAAAGAACGCATGGATTTTGAAATGCTTTAAGTTTGTTTATTATAAACACACAATACTTTTTATAATACCAATACAACCAGCAATAAATCCAATTTAAGAATTGGTCATTGTGAAATCCAAAGTACCTTTTTAGGTTTTGAAAATAACATCGGAGAGCTGGCGACCTTCTGCATTCATACACATCAAAAGTCTCTCTTCAAAATTCTCCATAACTTTTGTCAAAGTGTCCTGTGATTCTGCAACAATTTCTTCACGTATTGCAGCCTTTAACTCCTCGATAGACCGTGGTTTGCGACAGAACACTTTGAATTTCAGGTGACGCCATAAGAAGAAGTCGCACTGCGATAGGTGTGGCGAGCGTGCAGGCCAATGGAGATCACCAAAACGTGAAATCACTTGATTAGGAAACATTTCTCTTACGACTTCCATGGATGCATTGCTCGTGTGGGCTGTGGCTCCATCCTGTTGAAACCATATGTCTGCCATATCGATCCCCAAAGCTTCAAGTTGTGGCTGCAAAAATGTGCGTAGCATTTCAACATAACGTTGAGAATTAACTGTGACAGTTGCACCATCCTCTTCAAAAAAGTAAGGTCCTACGATACCAACTTTTGAGACCCCACACCGCACTGTAACTTTGTAACTGATCCTGTTGTACGAAACGAGTTCACCCAACGAAGTTTATCGTGTTGCGATCAGGTATCGAACCATTACGCTTGATATTAAACACTCTACGAAAGTTTTGTTGAACGGTAATTACAGATTCATTCGATTTGAAATACTGTTCAAACACACGATGCTGAACAGTCCACTGTGCCATTGTTACTAAAACTGGACGCTCTAACGTACAAAATGGCGTCACACAGCGGTCACTGGCAGCCCGCCTCCACTGGTAAAGAGTTATTTTACATCTTAGTGATGAACTATCTAATATATAAAATTCTCGTGTCACAGTGTTTGTCTGCAAACTCCTCCGGAACGACTTCACCGATCGTTATGAAATTTGGTGTGTAAATTCTGTAGGTATGCAAATCGGACGTAAACTATTTCCCGTTTCGAAATTCTTAAAAGGGCTCCGCCCCAGTGGCTCTGGAGTTTCCCATGTTAACCTTATGAGAAATGGAATTAATGAATCTTAACAGCTGTTTCAATTAAACAAGTTGGTTCTGTTCTATGATGTTCAATAGCATTAAAGTTACAAGGATTACCAACAGGGTGCAGCACTATTATTTCTTTTACATTTATGACAACAGCTAATTTGCAACCAAAAGGTGAGTGAGCGTAGCGAACGAACTTCAACCTGGAGGCGAGTTAGCGTAGCGAACGAGCTAACCTGAAGGCAAGTGAGCGCAGCGAACGAGCTCCAACCTAAAGGTGAGTGAGCGTAGCGAACGAGCTCCAACCCAAAGGTGAGTGAGCGTAGCGTACGAACTTCAACCTGGAGGCGAGTTAGCGTAGCGAACAAGCTAACCTGAAGGCAAGTGAGCGCAGCGAACGAGCTCCAACCTAAAGGTGAGTGAGCGTAGCGAACGAGCTCCAACCTAAAGGTGAGTGAGCGTAGCGAACGAACTTCAACCAGGACGTGATTGAGCGATGCGAACGAGATCATCTTGAAAATTAAACGTAACGGTACTTTCTTTCCATCGGTCTGTCTTAGGGGAAACCTATAACTTAGGCGATACGAAGTTCGCCGGGTCAGCTAGTAATTTTATAAAATGTTGCGTCACTACTAAAATAAGTTAAAGTAGAATCCAATCCAATCAATACATAACTACCTACTACACAAAGAGAAATTGTAGAAAATTTATCTTACCACTGAGAAATAATTCCTTCAAAGTTCTTAAATAATTCATCTTTTTTAAATGTTGATAAATACTCCAATGTAAGCCTTTTAGACCAAGATAACTCTTGTGTTAATTGCAAAGGGTGTAATTTTGATTTGTATACAACATTTGTTAAGTGGGAATATTGTCAAACCTTTTGTGGGGATGAGAAAAATGCATTTATCATGCACTTAAATATTCAGGGTGGTCTTATAATAAAAAACTGCATGATATACACTTATTTTTAGATCAGATTCAAATGTTGATGTACAGGGTAATCAAATTTACTAGATGAAACCCGTCGAAATCAACGGTTATTTTCAAGGCTTACGCCAATTCATCTTACTGCAATAAATTGAGTGACATTATAGATATTTTGAGCATTTATTTAGCATTGTTTGAAGTAAAACAATAAGTAGTAGCCTAATAAGTGTAAAAACAATAATGATATTGCGTTAGTTACCAAATATCGTTGATCATTCAATGAATAATATTCCCAATACTGTACATCATCGGAGTTATCATTAGTATGTTATCTGGTATCTCTTCTTTGGAAGAACGAACCTTATAGTATTAAATCGTATTGGTGGATCTTTTGTAGTTAAAACACTTCCGTGATTTCATCAGTGTAATGCAGATTAATCTATGATGTTATTTGAAAAAAATATCTGTTTGTTGGGAAGACACGTTCTAACTTCAAAGGGGGGAGGTATATCCGTTACAGTGTAAGTTTGATTTTTCCTTCGTCATGACGCGTCAGTTCATATCGTACTTCTGTGCCAATGAATAACCCTCTAGCACAGTTTTGAGAAATTGGTTGTGGGGTTACTGTATGGTCGCCATTTCATTGAAAAGTATTAAAGCTGGAATTCCTGACATGGGGGATGTCAGTTAGTTGTCTTTGCCTTATCAATTACATCAAGTTGTCAATATAATATCTCTACGGAATGTTAGGTGTAGTGGAATATACTTGAAGTGAAGCTTTTATTCTTGAACTGTTAGGGGCCTCCTCATTTATATAATCGTGCGGCTTCATCGGCAACAAATAATGCAACTGACATAGAAATGTAGCATTTCCAAAAAGAAAAAAATAATGTAAATTGGCTGTTACGTAAATATTGACGTACATGCATTGTTAATCAACGTATCTTATAAAGGATGATGTGATCTAGTTTAAAACGAATATGACCTTTCTGTAATGACAGTAGCTGCTTAAATAGTATCTACTCATTGAGCCATTTTTTTCAGCCAAAATGTTGTGTTATTTTCAATAATGATACCAACCCAGTGGGCCACAGTCCGTAATATAGGCCACTGCAAATAATTTGTGAAGATAGGTACCATTTTAGGCAAGGTTTCTGTGTTTGGATGTTATTAGACACGCTAAGAGCACAATAAAATTCTTCTGCAGATGAATTATCTGTGGGAGAAATATAAGCCAAATTATATAGGTCACAATGGGAGTTTGAGAATTTTGTAACTATATGGGTAAGTTAGATAGATTTTTTTAGGCTGCTGCTCAGTGCACTTTAAGAATATATTTTTTAAAGATAAATTAAATGGTTTAGTTGCTGAGTAGCGCTATTAAACATGCACAACCCTTTTCGTTAGTCTAATAACATTCAAAGGCTCTCTAAGAGTTCAAGTTCTTATTTGTATACATATTTATACTATGTTTTCACTAAGATAAATGAATACATCGAAGTAACCTCTCTGAAAAGTCTGCAGTATATTGCAGTTTTCCAGCTTAATGACTTTCTAAATCATGCTCATATTTCTACATAATATTGTTATATGTTTTATCCAGTTGCTGTAAACTACTATTAATTTAACAAAATATGAACACGGCTCAAATGTGCACTATGCCCTTCTGCACTTGTATTATTTTGTGTTGTATTACACAATCAAAGAGTTTTCCAATGATTGAAAACATGTATGACAATAATATCATGAACCTATGATGTACTGTCTAGATTAATATGATAAAATATAGGCAAAAGTGGTGAAAAAGGCAGACACCAACCCCGTAAAATAGATATAAGATAGTTCAATAAGAAATAATTGTAAGAATTACTGTGACAAAAGGATTTTTTCACTGATTTCGTAATGGAATGTTATATTGCAAAACATGTAAATAAATTGTTTTTTTTTAATGTGTTTTTACTCAATATTAATCAGTATTTAAACTGTTTTCACTCGTTTTCCAGGTTTGCGTATCTCGAGCTCCAAGAGGAAAAAAGAAGTCTGTAACTGTAGTGACAGGCCTTAGTTCATTTGGAATAGATTTGAAAGTTGCATCCAAATTCTTTGGCACAAAGTTTGCTTGTGGTTCATCTGTGACTGGTGATGATGAAATAGTGATACAAGGTGATGTGAAAGATGACCTATTTGATGTAATACCAGAAAAATGGCCAGAAATCGATGAGGACTTTATTGAAGATTTGGGTGATCTGAAGAGGTGAAAAGTGTATTATTTTGATCTGTGAAATTGTTTATCAAAACTAATTTTCACTATTTGTCTATACAAAATAAATTGTACATATAAAAATGTCAAGTTAATTTTTATTACACCATCAAAATGACACTAACTACAAGTAAGTTGAAATGAGGAAATAATTACCTGTTTACCCTAGTGATTTACATTTAGGCTACATTACAGGGGAATCTAGTTTTCACTGTTTGTCTTTTTCAGACATATAACTTTAAAATGCTAGAAATTTTTTATTAAAACTTGAGGTTGACCCTTGTAAAGAAAAAAAAGAGATTCTTCACTTATATTCAAAATATACTCTTTACTTAATTGATCATTCCATCAAGCAAAATCACCTCACACCTTTATGTAACGCAATTTGGCTATTCCATACAGGTGTGAGTATAACAAAAAGTTGCCCCCTGGTGGGGTTTGAAAATGAAATTTACTTTATTTAATCAGACTACTGAGGACGTTATAATCACAGAGCTGCGCAGTGGAAATAAAGATGTTAAGTGTGGGCCCTGTAATTAAATATCCCAGAAATCCGATTTATGGACCGTGAGAGGTCTGATATGTTGTCCTCCTTCACACCTTCTTCAGCTTAATTCTAACACTTCTTAAAGCTGATAGATGTGTTTATTTGAACACTCTATGAATTGAAATGTCAGTTCAGATGAAAGATTGTGATATGAATTGATACTCTGTAAAACTGTAAAATTGCAAATAATAATATTGAAATATTGATTGAAAATATTTGTGAAACTGTTTGTTCAGGAAATATTTATCAAAAGTATGACTTCAAGATGTTTATATATACTGGATTCGGTTAAGCCGATTACTCATGAATTCACCAATTTAATATTAAATATTATGAACTGAGCTTATAAAAATTGCACTGTCAAAATATATTTACAAAATGTGATCATCAACACTCATTGTGAATACTTTGTATACCTCTTTCAGTTAAGCCATTTACCTCTTTACTTTACCAGTTTTATACTAATGATACTAACAGCTGAAACACAGGATAATGAAAAGATGGTGATTTGTAAAAATGCTATGTAATGAGTTGAATTGAGCTGTGATACAAGTAACAGATATAAACAATGTAATAATCTTTTTGTGCACAATTTAATAATATTTTGAAAGAGAGAGCGAGAGAGTTGATTGCAAGTTAAATTTGGTGGTTTGCCACATTCTAAAACTGCAGAGTCTCGGGAAAACCTAGCCTTGACGATTTTATTTATTTAGTTTAGGCCACCAGACTCCCCAAGGATGTTCGTATATATCAAACTGGCCAGTTTACAATTTAATCAAACAGGGACTATTATGTAGGTTTGTGATCTACATCACTCCTTGCTGATCAGTGCAACGGGGCCAATCGACTGCTGAGTCGATTATTTGATAATTTTTATTTAGTATTTAATATTTATGAATTCAATGGGAGTCTATCCTCATGACCCTTTATCAACCCTAGCCTTCGACCGAGCACTCTGTTACCCCCATTTACGTTACACAATCAAACTCTCACTATTAAAAAATGTAATACTGTTCAAAAATTTCTACACATGAAATACAAACGTTTTAAATAATAATACTGATGATGATAGAATCTGACTTTACATAGAATACAAAAATAATAATATCACAGATAAACATTGCTCTTTAAATTAATATACCATTTCAATTCAATAAATAATTTTCATTTGACTAGGTTCACTATTATAACTTTAATTCTTTGTACGACATGACCAAATTTAATAAAACACTTTTTCCTGAATCGTGACCATGTGCTCTAAGTAGACCAAATGAAACATGAAAATCTCAGACCAAACAAAACATGATTCATAACTTGTAAAACGAGTGGTACATGTGAGAATATGTGGCAGATTGGCAAGACTATTTTGACACTAAAACACAAATAACACAATACATTTACTTACGTACACATGTCGACACATACACTTTCATCCCAACGAAGTTTCACACATACAGAACACTTAAAAACTGACTCGTGGTTTGCTGACTTTTTGTCTGACCGAGCGGAATATCACGACACGGTTTTTTCTGGTGTAGGACTTATTAATTCTTGTTTTTTTCGAGCTGGCGTTTAATGATTCAATTAAAAATACCGTCACGACGACCCGCGATTCGCTAGAAACTGACATTTGCTATCGATATGATGCATGTACGAATTTTCATCACGAACGCGAACAATCAATCCGGCATCTTAACTGTCTCGACTTAATACTAATAAAACACACCCCCAAATGCAATTCGGCGAAATTTTGACAATTGCGATCGTTTGATGCACGTACAATTTCCGCCCGAACGCTAATTTCCGAGCTACGAATTAAGATATTAATAAATTCGTCCTACACCAGCGACAAAACGCGACTTCACATGTTGACTACGCGAGTGCTGAGCCACGAGTGACGACGACGAGACGCTTTGCAGACGACGCGGTTCCCAACGGTCTTCGTATCCTTCCGCGTTACGTCATGGTTGGACTGACTTGTCCATTGCCTGTCGCGGATTTTAAATCTTTTGATTTGAAATCGGCACACCCTATTTTGGAGTAGTTGGATAAACTGATGCCGTCAAAAACAGAATAAGTTAGTTGTCCTTTCATTGTCTATGACAGGGCTCTCCAACCTTTTTTACCCAAGGGCCGCTTTTAAATTTTTTGGAGGGAAGGTTACTAAAGGTACTGAAGTGAACATTTCAGTGCCTAACAGAAAGGTAGCCCCCTACAAATAACCCAAAACAATGAAGTTTTCTTATTAAGAGCTCAGGGGTAATTTTTCCATATTCCTGCAGTTTTTTTTTTTAGTTTCTTACAATTAATTCTTGGGTGTGGCGGTGATTGCGATTCACGATTACGTTATCGCCGAGACCGCAACATTTACTAATTTAACTATGGGTGTTGCCGCAATCACCAGAGACGATTAAGGTATTGCCAAAAAAGCAAAATATACTTACAGTGTTACCGCGGCCGTTAGTGACGATTACGGTATTGCCACGACTGGAAGATACGCTCTCAGGTCTTGCCGCAACTTTGGTGATAATCTGTGTATACCATCATGTAAAAATAATTCTTTCTTAGTAGGCCTTTGCGGGCCGGATAAAATCTGTTCGCGGGCCGGATGTGGCTTGTGGGCTGTAGGTTAGAGACCAATGGTCTATGGGTCAGGGTTCGCTACAATTATTTATGGAAGAGATATACGATTTTATATGTTCAACCTGCTAGTAAAATTTGATATTGGGTTTGAAGTATGGTAGTAACTTTTGATGTTCAAAGGCAAGTAACTTAATGTGGGATTCCTTTTAAAAATTTGGGGTTGCCCTCAAATATCTGAGTAAAATAATAATTTAACAGGATAATCATATCTTAGAAAACTTGTAGGCTACATTACGTGATATACAGGTCTACATAAATTCCTGCACAGGCTTAATATTTTCTGAACTATAACAGATAATTCAATAAGATTTGGTACATCAACATGACACCTAAAAATCTAGGCTACTTTTTGAAGGAACTATCAGTTTTCTGTCATATCATGGGGACGTCGCAAAGAGTCAGAAGAAAATCATGAATCTAAGCAAGGATTGATATGCACATCAAATTAAAGGTCTTTGTAAAATAAAGCTGCAAACCCAAACAGACAACAGAGTAAAAAATGACAGTGGTTTAAAGATTCATTGATTTTGCTATGCTATTAAATGCTCCCTTGGGGGCAGCCGCTAGGAATCGGAAGAAAATTGTAAATGTAAGCATAGGTCGATATGCACATCAATTTAAAGGTCTTTATTAGTAGACTAGTAGATATATCCGTGCCTTGCAACGGGGTCAGTAAGCAAAAGAGACAATGTTTGTTCTTTGAAAATGGCTTAAAAATGGTTTCACACCTATCATTTAATTAAGAAACGGAATTGAACTGTATAACTTAAATCTTGATAATAGTAAGATTTTGTTAACTCAGACTGTGATCACTTATAAATTTAGGCTACCTAGGATACACAATCAATGATAGATTTTAAGGTATACCTAATCAAATAACATTCTAGTGTAAACAAATAGCTACCACAATAGTTCTAAACCTGTCAATAGTGTAATCTTCTAACAATTTAGTGAAATTATAATCAGGCAAATGGAAATTCACTTATTCTGCAGGTTTGCTGTGACAGGGGTATCTTATTACTGTTTACACAAAAAAAAAAAAAAAATATATATATATATAGGCTATAAAATAATTCTCATAAAACTCAGGATAAGAGTCTAGGTTGATACGGCAATGATTATATAATGTTAACTTCATTTCTGAGGTGTTGATTTCCGGATTACTTAATATTTACTAATCTAGAGGTTAATACCTTGTTGCCAACGTAATCCTTGGTAGACTTAATGGCTACCGGTTTCGACACCCTTATGGTGTCATTGTCGCCCTCAGGAGGTCGTCATAAAGTCTTCAAAACACATAACGAGACGAATAAATAACAAAAACGAACACAAACAAACATTTTAACAAATAATAATATATGGCCATACAACTCTCGGCGCGGCTGCGGGTTCAGGGTGTAGGTCTAGAAAAATTCTAAGCTATATCTTTGACAAAAAGTAAACGGCTCCGGTGGGATTCGAACCGGCTACCACCAGTTTATCAGCCTGGTACGCTTTGTCCACTACACCACCGATGCTCATGGCTCTGCTCCGTATCGGTGCAGTAATGGTGTTCCCTCAACAAGAGACTGTCGTCACAACATCGGCACGGTGCGGTGGTGGGGGGTGTTCCGATAAGGAAGGTTTAATCTGATCCATGATCCTCTGAGTTGCACTGGCTGCCTAGTTGCTTATTTTGTTCTTTGTTACAATGGATACCATCAATCAATATTTAATTTTAAATCTCTCACCTCAGAACTTTGAAAGCCTGCGGGGCAGAGTCCTAGGTCAATATCGAAGGGGGAATAGTTCTATATGCATCCTCAGAGTTGTAGCTTTATTTTTGTACAATTTGAGCCCAGTCTGTTCAGTAGTTTTTGAGTTTAGCTCAGACAGACACTACTGCTTCTTTATAATAGTATATATTTACAATGCCACAAATTTTAGCTCAAAAGAACAACTGAGTAAAAATGGCAGCCATTAAAAGATTCAAAATGGCCGATTCAATATATCTTTGAATGGTTGCCATTTTTGACTAGGTTGTTTGTTGGAGTTCAAATTTGCGGAATTGTATTCAACTAAAAAAAGGCTTTTAATTTGATGTACATATCAACCTATGCTCCTATTTAAGATTTCTTTCTGACTCCTTTCTGACTCTCCCCATGACGGAAAACTATTGATAGGTACGTACTTGTCCAAGGCATTCTTTCCCTAGGGTACTTATGAGAATAAACTACAGTATTCTATTAAGTTAATGAGAAACAAATATATTAAAAAAAGGAATCCACACTTTTATTTAGATCACACAAACATAAACATGAACACAGCTTAATATAAAAAGTAAAACATATGATATTGAAACAATGTACATTTAAAAAGTTCAGAGGCAAAATTGTCAATGTTCCAATAAAAACTGATCGTTCCTTCAAAAAGAACTTTTTTAGATTTTGTGTATATGTACCAAATCTTATTGATTTATCCGTTATGATTCAGAATTTGTAAAACCTGTATGGGACTTTATGTACACCCTCTATGTAAATTAATGAATTTGTGAGAAATAAAACAAAAACCTAGATAGGGCGCACATGGAGAAAACCTCCACAACTTAATCATACTCACTAACCCAAACCTCAGACTAAACCTAAGGAAGGGTGGGTGTTAACATTGCTTTGGGAAAATCCAGGAATGTTGCGTGTCATGTAGAGCCAGACACCACAAGGTCTAGTAGGTGTAAGTGTATGTGATAGTGAGGAGCTAAACTCTGCAAGCACCCCCTTGACGATTAATGAATTATGTTCTTGTATATGCTCAATGGCAAATGGAAACTGAGTCAAGTATCGATCCCTCTCAGGACTGAACCAGTCGCTTTTGAATTTGAAGACTCGCTTTGTATCCAAATGGCTACTTTATCATGATTTGGATAGCGTAATCAGTAATATTTGGTACATTTCTGCAGTCTGTAACAGGTACCGGTAGTAGTTTTGTTAATGAGTTTAATAAACTTATACTATCTTATATATTTTCATGTTTGTGCAGTTAGGATATTGTATGTATTTTTAATTTGTTTTTTATGAGAGTTGTGAAGTTAATTAGTAATTGAAATATAAATTCTGACTATAAAAGTGATTTACTGGATGACGCTTTGGAATTTCATAACAATCACTTTTACTTTCCCCCCATACATAGTATATGATATGGAGAAAGTATTGTTTTCGTCAAAATTTTTGAGTTTGAGTGGATATGTCCATTTTGATTCCCCCTGAACCCAAAAAAGTGGTTCTCGAAGTGATGTCTGTGTGTCTGTATGTGTGTACAGAGTTTCAGACCACACCCTGTGGTCCGATTTTGATGACATTTGGTATGTTGGTACTCTGTGGATCTAAACAATTAAAACTGTTTAAACCTATGGTATCTCGCGGTGTTTTTGTAATTTTTTAAAAAGTTTTGATGTTTTCAAAAAACCCATAAAATATTGGAAAAATATATTTTTTTCAAAAATGGCCCAAACGATTTTAGTAGGCCTATGTTGTAGCCCTTTAAATTCTGAACAATTTAGAGCTCCACTCCTGTAAAAAAATACGGTTCAAAAGTTACTGCAATCTTTGTGATTTTACCTATTAAGAGTCCTTGGAGGCTAGCGGCCATCTTGGATACTTTCAAATAGCTGCTGAAGAGTTAATTACCATCCAAAAATAGTTTTTCTAACACCAAAGTGATTATAATGTAAATATCTAGTATACTGTGAGATTAGAAATGTTGTTTGTTGTTTTGAATGTATTTCCGAGGAAATACAATGCAAGTCCATGGAAGGCAACGGCCATCTTGGATTTGCCCGCCATAAGAGCAATGTTAATTTTGTTATTTTCAAACAGCCACTGAAGAGTTATTTACCACCTCAAAATATGTTTAAAATACCAAAGTGATTTTAATTTAAATATCTAGTACTCTGTGAGATTATGAATTTGCTTTGTAGTTTTAAAATTGTTTTATGATTTAGAACGTCTAGGCTCCAAGGACTCTTAATATTATAGTTACTCTCATCGCTTACCCATAATAACGGGGAGAAAGTGTGTCAAAATTGCTGATACTGTTTATTTTAATTGTGGTTTAAACTTTTTTAGTTACAGAAAAATACTTGTAATTTTAAACAAAATAAACTGAAATTTTATTCCATCTCTACTTTTTTTGTGTAAAATTACAGGTTTTATATATTTACTTCAATACTTACTTTGGCTGCTTCCATAAATAAAAGCAAAACATTTTTGGCGTTACTGGATGATCAGTTTTTGCGCCACTTTAGTTTATTAATGAGAAGATAAATGTAGTTTTTTAACTACTCTCATTGTTGGTGGATTAAATGACTCAGAAAAATGAGTCACACTATTGAGTTGGCTTTTAATTGAATTGAGTGGCACTGTTCATTGAATTAGTGACAAAAGAATAATTATTAAAGATACGACGATTCAATGAATCAATCATTAAAAATTTTCAATACGTTTCATTTAAATGGTTCAAATCTACAAAGGTTTCTCATTGATTGTTCCGATGGATTTACTACCTATCGATGACTGTTGGAAATACACCAAAAAATTTTCCAATAACTTCGGTTAGTTAATGGACTAGAAGTTATGATTGTTGTTAACTGTGATTTGGTGGATTTGCCCATACAAATAACGTTGTGTTCACTAGTGACACCGGTAAGTGCGGTTGGACTCGCCCATTGTTGCGCCTACATTCAATCATCCTGTTACACACAGAATAAGCGTACTCGTAGCAGGTACCTTAAAAGTATGTTTTAACCACAAGTCTTCTCAGTTAATTACTTGTACCTGAAGACAAACCAGGAGATGTTTAAATAACTTTTATTAAAATTTAAGAGCCTTTTGATCCATCCTCAGAATTACCGATAGATTAGGATTTCACCTACACAATAACTGAGATTCATTTTATTTCACAAACATTTAAAACTGTTACAACTTTAAAAAGAAGTATATAAATTGTGCTAGACTGGAGCGTTGTTATGGTTAGACCTCAATGCTCGCTTCAGTCGGCGCCAGAACAGCTCGTACACTTCGTCCTTGCAAGGCTGTCTTGGCCACATCAGGTAAGTCTTGGTCATCATCAGATGGTGCAGGGTCTGGGGTCTAGCATTGCGAGGGATATCTTCCAGCAGGACCTAAATAAATCATCAATCTAATAAACTATGACACAATTTAAATTCTTAACTTTAGATGAATTGGTGTCTCAGTCAGAAGTGCGACGGACTAAGAAATCTGTTGCAAGGGAACGATGGATTAACATCCTGCATAAAATATCTATTAGCGCAGTTTGTTCTTGTTTTGTTTAGGCTCACCACTCCATTCCATGCTTGATACCGTGATACATTTCACACACAGGCAACAGGTATATGTGGAGGGGAAATACAAGATTAAAAGGAATGCCAACCTTTTCCTTAAAAAAACATAATTCAACAGAAGTGGCTGACGACCAACTGCATAAGGGACCTACAGTTGATACTGGAATCCAAACCACATTATTTCCTTGTAATTAACGAATTGGTCTAATTATCAGGATAGTACTGCGGATAGTCGTAGTACTCACTAGTGCGGACGTTAATCCACACTAGGGAGCATGCCTATAAATATCCAAAATTCCTGACCTAGTAGCTGGATTACAGGACGACGCCACCGTCCCAGTCTGTTGGTTTGACTCGTCAGTACTGTTTGTCTACAGAAAACTCTAAACATTTGTTTTACCTTAGAGGAAAACATAAATATGCACATAGTTAAGCCCGAGTTAGTAATCATAATTTATAGGTACCTTTGGCTTCAATAGTTAAACCTGAGTTTTGGAAGTGATATGCTGTGTAGAAATTAATATAATTGTGTAAATGCTTACCAGCACAAGTTGATCCTTGAAAGTCTCAATCAAGCGATTCTGTGCTAGGTGCATTTCAAACTGACACCATTTACTGAAGATGAATGCTCTGCTTACCACCAACAACAGTGAATGGCTGCGATCTATACAGTCTATGATGTTTTCTAAAATTGTCATTCCTACCTGTAAACATTTACTGTAAGCGAAATTTAAGATTGAATACTATGTGTTTTAAGATATCTTATGTTTGCTTGGATATGGTTTGGAATATCCTTTTGGAATTCAATAATTGAACTTTATGTACACCGAATTTCCAATATTGGCCTAGCTGTTTGTGTGTATCAGTACATCTGGAATAAGTTTGAAGAACACCATCCTATAATGTTAATAATTACGAAGGTGTTAATAAGGGTTTTCTAGGTAAAACATTTATAAATACAAATTATCATTTTAAAAAACCAGTTTTTCTCCTTAGTGGTTGTGATATCAACACAAACATATCTTCTTGTGTTTGATGGAACTGATGTGATTGCAATTTTAATATTTTAGCCTACTGACATAAAACACAGTATTTCTGAAAGTGTATTTTTTACTTTTAATAAGGCATTGGAAAACTTTCTTTACTTCTTAGTTACAAAAGGTCATAAAAGTAATTATAGAAACTAGAGATTTACCTGAAAATCTCTCTCATGGAAGCAGAGAGAAATATCTCCGTACTCTTCCATATTTGGTACTAGATGGTCAAGAACCCATGCTCGGTCTACGTCTGAGTAAGAGACAAATGTGTCGTAGTACTTTTCAGTTTTTGACAAGTTGCCATTTTTGCGCAGCAAACGTGCCTGTTTTAGACTGAAGTAACGATGGAAAAAGCATTTGATGTTCCACCACTTGAGATAAACAATGCCTCCTAATGCACACACTAGCATGAAAGGGCCAACTATCAAATAAGTCCACTCCCAATTCCAGGCTAATTTCCGTGCTGGTTTCAGATAGGGAGCATTTGTGGTTATGTGTTCTGTTGTAGAAGTTTGAGGACGTTGAGTGGTTGAGACTGAAATTAATGAAGTTTAAAAGTTAGATAAAATGTAAATATTAATGCACAATTAGGAGTAGGTACCTAACTTGAAAACACACTATTTTTGTGTTGGTAAATTTATTTTTAAATAAACAATCCTTAGATTTTGACTGCCAATTAATAAATAAGGCCAATAATTACATGTTATTCATATCATCATTGCTAGAAAAACCATAATTTGCTCCAAAAACCTTTTACTTTCTCCTCCTAGGAGAAAGTATATTGTTTTTGTCTACATTTTCGAGTTTGAGTTTTGAGTAGATATATCCGTTTTGGGCCGCCCTGAACCCAAAATAGTACACTTCATAGGGCCTAAAGTGACTCTTTTTGACCCGTGGTCAAGTTGTTTGATCAAGGCGAAGCCGAGGTCGGAAAATGAGCGAGGGTTAAAAAGTCACTTTTTGCCCGAGTGGTGAACTATATATTTTTCGTCATATTGAATCATTAATTAACAAAAACAAAGCTAGAAAACTAAATAATTTTTGTGTAAAGATAACCTCTCAAAACAACTTCCAGCATGTTTTCAATTCTGCTAATGCAAATAAGCAGCTCTTTAGTAAGTAATTCAATTATTTTGTCTCTATTACGATTGTGTTACTATACCAACGATATGTCGAGCAATCGACAACAATAGGCTAAAACTTTACCTAATAAATCAATCGAGAAATAATTTTGATCTATACGATTGGCACAATCGAAATTTACAACAGTTTACAACAGAGCTGATTTTATCACTAGTTTTTTCTGCGGTATGACAAAAAAGTGGTTTTTGAAGTGATGTGTGTGTGTCTGTATGTGTGGATGTGTACAGAGCTACAGACTACACCTGTAGTCCAATTTTGATGAAATTTGGTATAGGTATAAAAGTTATTGTAACTTTATGTTATTTTTCCATTAAAAAAACATGAAATAATGAAAAATCGGATTTTATAAAAGAAGCCGGTTCTGATTCAAATTACTCTGTTATGGTCCTTTAAATTCTGAACAAAATTGTACAAATCCCATTTCCGTAAAAATATGGTTAAAAATTATTATAACTTATGTTATTTTCCCATAAAAACCCATAAAATAACAGAAACTCAAATTTTAGGTAAAAAGCTGGTTTTGATTCAAATTGATGTGTTATTTTCCTTATAATTCTAAACAAAATAGTGCAACTGCACTAGCAATTGCTGAATCAAATGCGGTTCAAAAGTTATTTTCCCTATAAAATATCATAGTTACTCCCACCACTTACTTACCCATGATCAAGGTTGTTGACAAGCTAATGGGAGGAAGTATGTGTCAGATTGCTGATACAGTTTATTCCTTACTCACCTTCCTCGTAGAATTCATTGCAGTCACTTTCTTGACAAAACTGCCGAAATCCATTGGACATTAAATCGTAGCATTTGTAGTGCTTCCAGTCAACAGAAGTCAATGGTTGGGAATAATTGTTTCTTCTTGTTGAATTGTCATATATTGTCAGATGAGGACTTTTGAGCCTTTGTGCATGATCATCTACATTTTGAGAGTTATTTTTGAAATTCAAACATACCAAAGCTACTACTTTACTGTGGCATATCAGTGGATTATTGTTTAGTGCTAGTGAATCTAGTTTATAAAAATCACTGACCATAGCATCGCTAACATATGTTATCTGGTTGTTGGATACATCTAAAAACTGCAGCTGGCTCTCGTTGTTGAGCAGAGAGAAATACCAAGTAGTGATCCAGTTTTGGGATGCATCAAGGGTTTCCAATGATGGAGGCAACATTGGATTGGAGAGTTGGCTGATCATATTATTTGATATGTTAAGAACTTTTAACGATGTCAACTCAGAAAAATAAAAGGAGTAATTATTCGGCAACTTGAAGTTATTTTGTGAAAAATGCAGTTCTGTTAATGATGCATTATTGCTTAAAATTAAATCTTTTAAAATCGGTCCTAATTCTTTTTTTGTAAGTACTGCTGATAGATCTAGATACTCCAGATTATTTAGAGTTTGCAGTGATGTATTCACTTCATACATAAGAGTCGATTGGCAAAGCGACATCATTTTTACATTTTTTAGTGTCGGAAACAGCAATTCATATTCTTCTTTGTCTAAATCAAGGAATGTGTTTGAAAGATCTGCTCCAATAAGATTTTGAGTTGAATTTAGGGAATCGTAAGGCAAAATATCCAGTATTGAGTTAGAGCTTAGATCTAAATAAATCAATTTGGTCATGGAAGATACTAAATTTAAATCTAAAATCGCAAATGAATTTCCAGCCAAAGACAATACTTGTAAATTTGGAAAAGTGTTAGACAGTAATGCAGTTTCAATGAATGATATGTTGCAATTTTCCAAATTAAGTTCTTTCATTTTCATAAATTTGGCATTGTTATAAGTCACCATCATTTTTGAGGCTTTAGAATTTGCATGGGACAGATCAGTTCCTTTGAGGGAAAGGTACTGCAAAGTATTCTGAACATGTCTGAGAGTATTAAAAGAATAGAACCGGTAATAAAGATAGCTTAGGTTTAGAGTGATGATGTTTTTCCCTTTCATTTGCTCCATAAGTTGTTCAAATGCTGAATTTGTAATCACTGCTCTTCTGAGGTCAATAGTGTTGAGACTGATGGGTAGTTTACTGAGACCAGAGCCTAAAACAGCAACAAAAATTATTGAGCTTAATTAATTAACTTAAACAAAATCACCGGTTCTTGCAACTGACAATCCGGTTACAAAAATATCCCTGACACAGCAAATTTGAATACACTGAGCGAATTTCAATTTGTCTGATTGGATTGTTTGGACGGTGGCGTCGTCCGTGACTTAGCAAGGAAGGAAGTAGTAAAGGCGAGCAGTCCGGAGTGTGGGAACTGTTTATAACAATAAGATTAGGGTATCTGCAATCCTAAAATGCTATGGGAAGGGAGGAAAACAGGTCCGCGGCGTAGGAAGTGGTGCAGGAAGTAGTCAAGGCGAGTAGTCCGGAGTGTGGGAACTGTTTATGACGATTATATTAAGGTATTTCCAATCCAAAAATGCTATAGGGAGGGAGGGAAACAGGTCCGCGACGTAGGAAGTGGTGATGGAAGTAGTAAAGGCAAGCAGTGTGGAGTTTGGGAATGGATTTATGTATCTGCAATACTAAGACTGCTTTCAGAGTAAACTAATGATTTTCCCCGAGCAAAGCTCGGTCCCCAGGTACTCCTAATAATTAGACCAATCCGTTAATACCAAAGCCAAAATGTGGTTCGGATTCCACTAAAAACAGTAGGTCCCTTAGTTGCCATTAGCTGTATGGGCTATTAATTAACAGCTGTGTCTAAGCGAATATGTGGGCTTAGTCTCTAACAAGACTAAAAGATCGCGCCACTCATCCTACACTCATCCTTCACTCATATTTGGGTTAAAATACGCACATAGTGGCGTCCCTATCTTAAATAATTGAAAGAATTGATATAGTAACTAAAATTTTCACACCCCATCTGGATACCATTAGAATGTGAACTTAGGTTTGCTGCTATGGGGAAGGGAAAAAGTTTGAAAAAACAATTTAAAGTACCCATGTTTCTAATGATCCGATCTTGCAGATTCGCCAACTCATTTAAGCTCTACATTCGTTTATCTAGCCCTACACATACATACAAATTTAATCAAAATCGGACCAAAATAACTCTAGTTATTGCGTTCTAGGACATATATCCATATACTTAATACCATAAGGAGTTTCTCTGTTACATCTCTTATTCAGCCGTCTAACTCAACTGATTTTTTTGATTGAGGTTGTAAGGGTTGTAAATATTGACCAACTCTAAGTTGATGTTTACCGTTATCAAGAAACAGGTGTTAGCAACGGGGACAAAGGTCAACCCTGATTACAGCCCCCAGCTTGCGTCGCCGGCCACTCAAGACCGCTGAACCTGGAAGTAGTTCCAAAAACCACCCCTTATGAGCTCACTATTTCTGTGAATAATAAAACTAGAGCCGCTGACCATTCTACATCAGTCTAACGTAGTAGAATCTAAGTAAAAGTTCTAAGTTCATCCTCTCTCGTGTTGGCATCTCTTTAAATTTGTCACCCAGGTAAGTTTATGGTCTGCTGCTTGTAAAATAAAATAACTGATTTAGTTCCTTCAAAAATCAGATTTTTGGATGAATGTACCAACGTGTTGATGTACCAATTCTTATTGATTTATCTGTTATTGTTTAGAGCATACTGAACCCGTGCGGGACAGCTTTATTTACACCCTGTATGTTACAATCATTATTTTATTTCATAATGATGTGTTAAGGTGTAAAGGTGGAATGTCATTCCATATAAATAAGGCCAATGTAAATTTTTTGAAAGTTTGTACGCATATTTATAGAGAAAATAGATTTTTTCTGGCTATACCACTGGTCTAGAACTTATTTTTGATGCAGAATTAAGGCAGGAGTAAGGTCAGGTGCTGGGAGAAATTGTGTTAGGACGTACAACTCTTGTGGGATGGGCTACAAGATTGTAATCCAAAAGCTAGGGAGTCGTTAACCACCTGCGGTCATGGAACCTGTCGCCATGGCTGCTAACATTGACACATTGTTTCCAAAGCACCCAGCGTGACCAGCTAAGAAATTCAGGGATTTGGACGCGTTCTCAGCCTTTCAGGTAGAGGAAATTTCCTCTGCTGTCCGATCCCTGAAAAATCAAAGACCACCTGGACCTGATGGCATTACTGCTAAAATCCTCAAGAAATTTAATCAAAGTAACCAAAAATAAGGTGCGCTAGTGTCTAAAATTCTATTTTTATTTTATACTTTATTTTTAGTAAATAACCTAGCTAACTTGAAATGCCCGAAGAGACCCGCCACGTTGGCTACAATCGACAAGGTCGCTGCTCTGGTTGCAGGCAGAAACGTCTAAGAGGCAGAGCTAAAACTCGGTGTAGAGATGCTCCGTGTCAACGAGTGTATGCAGGACCACGGCTTGTCGCTGGCGGTCAGAAAAACGAGATCATGGTCCTAATTAAGAAGAGGAATCCTACTGTCCTTCCTGTGCAAGTAGGCCATGCCCAACTGGAGACCAAGCCGTATGTCAAATACCTTGGTGTTATGATTGACATCAAGATGTCTTTTTGCAAGCAGATCAAGCGAACCGCTGACAAATCCGCTAAGGGAGTAGCTGCCCTTAGGCTTATGTCAAACGTCGGATGTCTGCTGTCCAATCAGTGCTCTTGTACGGTGCTGAGGTCTGGGTCCATGTGCTGGAGAGGCGTGACTTCCATGACCGGCTTTCCCACGTTCAGTGTCGAGGGGTCGTTGCTTCTGCCTACTACAACGGTATCCAAACCTGTGTTCATGGTAATTGCCAGTGTCATCCCCGTCATCCATCTTGCGAGGCAGTGACAGGCGATCTACCGCAGGAGACCTGAAGTAGGCTAAGAGACTGCTGCCACAGAAAAACACAACCACAGTTTCAACCACTGGCAGCGCGAATGGGATGACGAGGCTGGAAGACGTTGGACCTCCAGGCTCATTCCCTGCATCTGAACATGGGTGGAACGGAAGTAAAGTGAGGTAAGGGTGACCCAGGTTTTGTTGGGTAACGAGTACTTCCCGGCATTTTTGCACGAAGGCCTCCAGCTTGGACAGTTTACATTGTCCCGGCATGTGTCTGCACAGCTGAGCACACCTTCTTTTTTTGTGACAGGTTTGATCTTTAAAAAGGACGTCAACATCACTCCAGGGAGAGAGCCCCTGGAACTGTGTCAAGCAGTTCATTGAGATCATTCATCGGGCTAAGATGGTTGATATTGATCGGCCTTTGGAAGAAAATAAGAAGGAAAGTCCTAATGCTATTGTTGAAAAGGCCTAGCCCGAAGCTATGAGCTAAACAGTTCCAGGCTAGTGTCCTGGAAGGGGTTTTTTTAGCCGGTAGTCGGGGGATTTTGAGATAAAAGGAACCTGGCACAACTGAGAGGACATTTAGCCATGTAAACGCATTTGAACATGGCAATTTATACTCTTGATTGATTACAATATAGCTTACAATTGTTTTAAAGGAAATACTAAAGCGATGATGAGTGTGTGGGAGTCTTTGACCAAGGGGAACAAGATCAACCAAACCAGAAGCATTCTTTAAGTTTCAGTTTTGACTATTGATACAACTAGTCATTCCAACCCCATAAATTGGCAAACTCACGTTAGAAATTTATCAAAAAGACTTAATTGCTTATGATCTAGGGGAGTGGTGGTAGGAATGAATAATAACTAAAAAGTCAATTCCTTTAGAACTTTTCCCCCAAAGAGTTTAATTTATTTCTTAATTTCGCTTTCAAAGATTCAGTGATGCTGACCATCTTTATTTACAACGTTTGAATGTGAATTTAAATGTGAACAGATGATCCTTCAGTTGAATGTTTAACTACAGTCAAATTATTAACAAAACAAAATACCCCCGCGGCAGAAAACCTGCAGACTAAGCAAATTTCTATTTGTCTGAATTGATTTTCAACTAAATCTATTTAAACAACATTATAGGTTAAACAAGTACCTAGGTTTGCTGCTATAAGGAGATTAATAACGTTTGTTTTTTTAGTAAAATATTAATTGCTTGGTATAAAATAAATAAATTTGCCAAGTTTGATAAAAATATATCCATAAACAAGCAAACTACATTTTACAATATTCTCCATAAGAACAACATGGGAATTTTAAATTTACAATTATTTGAATTTTCTCCTTTACCAATAAGTGTACAAAAACATTTTGATATACTAAATTATTTGTTTTTTAAGCTCTTTAATAAGGTTTAGAGATAAATTGGAAAATTTTATGTTTTGAGGGTCAAAAATGATAAAAACTAATTTTACCCCATAAAACCCCGTTCCCATGGTCCGATCATGCTGGTTCGTGAACTTATTTAAGCTTATCCCGCCTTACACCTTTAAACCAAATTTCATTAAAATCTGAAAAAATTGCTCAAGTTATTGCGTTCGCGGACACACATATAAAACCTATATGTATATATATACTATAAACATTTGAACGAATGGTGTTTTTGGCCTCTGGGGACATCAAAATGAAGAAGTAAATTGGTCCCGGGCCTAGGCCTTACCGTGCCACCTACGGTAATAGCTACTTCCCTAGAGGGAAACTCGCAAAAGAGTTTATGAAAATGAATTATAAATTGACAACTTAAAAGTAATTCGTACAACATAAATCTGTATGTTTTTAATAAGTAGGCACACATTATCAGAACAAAAAGTATTATTTTGAAGGAATAGTTGTAGGCTCTAAATTTTATGTTTTAAAGAAGTAAATTTTACCTTTAATATCCTTATTTTTCAATTTAAATTTGATGCCCTTGAGTCCAAGAAAGGTTAGCTTAGAGTTCTCCAAAAAATACACATCCATTGTGTACAGAGGGTTTCCTGAAAAAAACACATCTTATTATCGTTAAAAAAATTAATTACAAAAATGAAATTGACGGAATCCCCTTTTATTCTTACAAAATTTTCATCATCACTCACTGCTATATTTTGCTTCAAAAGTATTAGAGATTAGAAAATAACTCAATCAAAATGTTTGCAAATGGATACATTTATTTGCTTATTTTTCAAAATATTGAGCTGGGGTGCTTGGGTAATTTTGAGCAAATGTTATGGAGGGATATGAATATTGTTATTTACTAATCTGTACTGTTATGGCTCATATTGAATGAACATGATGATTCCAAACCAATAATACCAATTAAAAATTAGTGTTATGAAAGTGTAGTAAATGAAATAACTATTTATCTTGACATTCATGTAGAATACACAATTAGCTATGTCCACACTTGTGCGCTTTTGTATGCGCCAAGCGCATGCAGATGGACGCAAGTGACGCATGCGCCAAGGCATACCGAAAGTGAGTCGGAAGGAGCTCCATTCCATGGCATACAGCGTAGCACAAAGATGATCTGTGCGTTTCAACTTGCTACTACTTTTTATTTTTTATAGTTGTCAGTGTTGTAGTTGTTTGAAGCATATTGAATAACTAAGAAATCTCAGAATTCATAGAAGATTATCACTCTCATTTATGTGTGTGGGACATACAATGTAAAAAACAAATTAAATTAATTGAAATTAAAATAAATCAATAAATAAATATAGTAGGCCTAAAATTAAAATTATTTGAGTTTTATAGTACTTCTTCGTCCACATTTTCCCCCATGATTTCTAACGTTTTGGAACATTTCTTAACACTAAATATGCCGCACCAAGGCACCATCCCTCTTATCAGAATAGCGTCGTCTTCATCTAACTAGGAAAAGGTATCTAGAAAGGTAGGAAAGTGACGCATGAGTGTGGACAGCTAAAAGGCATTGAATTGAAAGCCGAAAGGCATGTTGAAATTGAAAGCGCACGAGTGTGGACAACAATCACCTGCTAAACTAAAGTAGGTTAGATTATGCATGTTAGCACTCCCTGAAGATGACAAAACCTTCACTCTGCTGCCTTCCAAACTCAAAAATTTTAAATCTTTGATGTTTTGAAACAAATAATCAGCTTGAGGAATGTAATCCATGCTATTGTTTCTCAAATAAAGTGACTCAATTGATTCAACTCCACTGAATGTGTCAATTGCAAGAAATGATATATTTGAATTTTCTATGATCAAAACTTGGATTTTTAATCCAGAAAACATTTTTGGCGGGAGTGATATGTGAGCGATTTGAGATATTTTATAGAGCAAGAGGTTGGAATTTGGTATGACAGTTGGCTCAGGCACATTGTATCCTTGGCAGACTAAAGTGGCGTTGGTTGAGCAGAATTTGCAGCCGGTAGAGTTAGGAAGAGTCTCCCACTTGCCAAGACAATGCGGCCCGCAACACTTCCCTGTGCTGAGGACTGCCTCATCTGTAACAGTCATGACACACTCAACAAATAGGTATTGTATTTCCTGTGTGATTTTTTAAAAATGGTTTATCCGTAGATAAATAAAATGACAAGTCTCTTTCTTATGGGTCAGATTTTCATATTGTTTTACATCCTATTGTTTAAAATACTTGACTTAAAATACCTACTTTATATGGTCGCCATTTCATTGAAAAGTATTAAAGTATTACAACACTCTTATTATAAATTAATACCGCATAGTTTATACAAAGAGAAAGAAAGAGAGAGTAATCTTTGACTTTGGATGTTACTAGACTTTCTTTTCCCTTGTTAAAGTTGCACCTAGCTAGTTTTAGAGCAATGATCAACTTAGTTGAATATTGAGCCATTGACTAAATGTGTTGACCTGCGCAGGTAAAACGTTGCAGTCAAGTCGTTGCGTGTGGACAGTAAAACTGTGCATTTTTGAGAGCTGCGTGGAGACGGAAGACGGAGGGATAAAACTATTGAGGAGAGCATAGTTTTGACAACGTTTCCAGACAAGTTCCGTTTCAACTCCATCTTCACGCTTAACTCTCCAGTCTCCAGTGTTGTCTTCACGTGCTGTCAGAGGGATTTAAGTGTTTTTTTTACGATGGCAGATCTTCGCCAATGTTCTTGTGAGTTTATTGTGAAATTCATAAAACTGTACAGAAGTTTTCCTTGTTTATGGAAGGTCAAAGTAAGGATTATAGTTATAGTGACCGTGATAAGAAGAATCAGACTGAAAGTTTTGTTGAAAAAAAAAAAAACAAAGCAGAAGATTCAAACGTGAACAGAGAAACGATTATGAAAATGTTTGTCTTTTTAGTAATCAACGTCTTGACCATATTGAGTGTCGTCTTCGCCCAGACTTTGCTTTCTTTGCTTTCTTGCAACTCAGATTGCAAAAATTGACCAGAATAACACATCTTCCATGATATTACGTGCACATACACAAGTTATGACAAAACTACATAAAACATTGGTGCTAAAACCTGTACCGTGTGGACGCATTTCTTTGCTACGACTTGACTGCAACGTCTTACCTGCGCAGATAAAACGTACGCAAAATCCTTGCGTGTAGACCGACCTTAAGATACCACTGTTGAATAAGCCTACTTTTAAACATCAACCAACTAAACTGAAATTCAGAACTTTTTATATTGTAAGCAATAGCATGTTTAAAGCCACATCAACTGTCACAAAGTACCAAAATCTAAGGTTTACGATATTCAGTTTTAGATTGTAGCACAATAATGAGTGGCTCATTCAACTTTGTTCTTTGTGAATAAAAAACGGCTACAGTTGGTCCAAAAAGAAGGGATATCTACTTCAGTATCAAATGAAACTGACAATTAAAATAAAATAGGGAAAATCAATATTATCTCAAACTAAGATCATCCAAAGATTTTAGTCAAAAGTTTTAAGATACATCCTGCAAGCTCGGTGGTATGTTAATAATAAAATCCTTCATAAGGAAAGAGGTGTTCTAAACCTCTTGGACAATAAGTACTGCACTGTACTGCACCGGACTAAAAATAAATCATGTTGTAAGCCCATAAGCTCACCTTTTGTTTGTAATTTGATTTTATAAACCAATACTGTGTACAGGGTGTCCGTAAATAATTGTTTCAGAATTTTGGGATATGAATCCTCATACCAATAGAAAGAAAAAAAATTATGTGGAGGTATGTCTGAAAATGCATATTTACCTATATATCAGCCATTTTGTTTTTTTATACATAAACATTTTTATCTTAGAAGTTTTTCAACAGATCTAAGTTAATAGTGCGGGGTGGTTTGTAAGTATTCAGACTCTGGCTCGATCGGAGTGTTAAAATTGATTTGTTGATTTACCGTGCTTAACAATACGTTTGTTATTAAAAATCACCCTGTTGCCATTTTTTATCACTTCTTTTTATACTTTCTAAATCTAATAGGGGGTATAACCTTAACCTTGCCTCATAAAAACGCTACCTTCCTTAACATTGCTACCTTTCGTAGCAAAATATGATAATTTATTGCATATAGAAAATACCATAAAACTATTATTTTCTTAAAGAGGAGATTCTAACCTTCATTTTCATATATAAAATACACCCGCCACAGCAAACCTGCCGACTAAGCGAATTTTCATTTGTCTGAATTAATTTTTAATTAAATCTATTTAAAAAACATATTTAATGAGTACGGTACCTAGGTTTGCTTCTACAAGGAAAGTAATAAAGTGTATTTTTAGTAAAATATTAATAGCTTAGTATAAAATAAATAAATTTGCCAAGTTTGATCAAAATATATCCATAAACAAGCAAACTACAAAATTTTACAATATTCTCCATAAGAATAACATGGGAATTTTAAGTTTACAATTTTCTGAACTTTCTCCGTTACCAATAACCGTACAAAAACACTTTGATATACTAAATTATTTGTTTTTTAAGCCCTTTAAAAAGGTCTAGAGAGAAATCATGCTGGTTCGCTAACTCATTCAAGTTTACTCTGCCTTACACCTTTAAACCAAATTTGATCAAAATCAGACAAAAATTACTCAAGTTATCACCGTGCCACCTACGGTAATAGCTACTTAATTCCCTATAGGGAAATTCGCTGACATGATTATGTGCCTTTTATTTGGCTACGACGATTATTGCAAAAAGTAATAATGATTATACAGGGTTAGGCAAAAGTCTGGAACTTCCCAGTTAACTTTTTAATGTGTTGCAGTAGCAAAACCAAACTCTGCACATATTTACATGAGAAATTGCACTTTTTCATCAAAGTTACAACTTTTCCCCATTTTGGGGGCACCCCCAAATTTTCAAATGTAAACACCTATCATGTGACTCCTCTTTTAAAGGGTTTATCAAGAGAAATTGAATGGCACAAACTAGAGGACAATATCGCACCCCTAATCAAAATGGCAGCCAAAAAATTTACAAACAACATCAACAAAGACAATTTTTTTGTTTTTTTTTTGGGGGGGTTTTCTTGCAAAAACCCTTAAGATAGCGGAAAATATAATTTTTTTTAATGGCCTGAACGATTTTAATAGCAATTCATTATTTATTTTATTTTATTTTACCTTCCAACGGTCAAGAACCAATTTACAATATGGTATACAAGATGACTTAATCTAACTTAAACATTACATAGAAAAGTATTTTTTTGGAAATAACATGCAGTAAAGTAAATACAATTTGAGCAGTACAAAACAAAATAAATTAGGTCATTTACATCAGGTACAAGCATACTAAATTGAGATTCACAAATCAAAACTTTAAACAACAACCAATGAACATGAACAACAAACAATAATAGTAAGTAAAAATATGTTGATATGTTGTAGCCCTTAAAATTTTGAACGAAATGGTAGAATTCCCATTCCTGTAAAAATTGGGCTTTAAAAGCTATCGTGTAATTTTCCCCTACAAACCCCACGAAATAAAATAAAATAGGATTGTAAAAAGGAAACCGGTTTTGATTGAAATTAAGCCTAGTATTTTTGATGGTCTTTATAGTTCTTAACAAAATAGTGCAATCTCTTATTTCTGTAAAAATTAAGGTTCAAACGTCAATGACACTGTTGTGATTTTACCTAGTATTAAATATCATATTCTCTCTCATCCCTAACCCATGAATCCCATGATAAAGGTTGTTGACAAGCTAATGGGAGAAGGTATATGTCAGATTGCTAATAATGTTTTCTATATAAATAAAATTAGAGTTTTGTCTGTACATTGCTCAGAATTATATATTTTTAGGTTATTTTTACGTTTTATACATTAAAGAAGCAGAAACGAGTCTTATCTCTATTTCTGTCTGTCTGTCTATCTGTCCCGCAGGGGGCCCACGCTTGCGTGGGTACGTGGCCTGGCGACCACGCGGACCCTAGCTCTCCCAGAGGGGAGGTAATTGCCCGGTGTTGGAACCGGCACTTCAGGTAGGCCACAAGCTATGGACGACTGGACAAGCCAGCCTCTTTGGGTTGTACCCAAAGTGAGAGTACCCAGTGACATTCCCTCCATTCAGGGTGGTGGGGTGTTCAGCTCTGCTAGTGTTGATTAAGTTCATAGATCTTTCACCTGCCTGTAGCTTGTGGTTGTGACTGAGTTCTTCGGGCTCGTCCTACCTGTTGTGTTCGACTGACATTTTGTGAGGCATATCCTCGACTTTGGAAGTAGCCTCGTCCTGGGAGGTGAAATACCCCAGAGGGGAGGTAATTGCCCGGTGTTGGAACCGGCACTTCAGGTAGGCCACAAGCTATGGACGACTGGACAAGCCAGCCTCTTTGGGTTGTACCCAAAGTGAGAGTACCCAGTGACATTCCCTCCATTCAGGGTGGTGGGGTGTTCAGCTCTGCTAGTGTTGATTAAGTTCATAGATCTTTCACCTGCCTGTAGCTTGTGGTTGTGACTGAGTTCTTCGGGCTCGTCCTACCTGTTGTGTTCGACTGACATTTTGTGAGGCATATCCTCGACTTTGGAAGTAGCCTCGTCCTGGGAGGTGAAATACCTAGCCCCCAAAGGGGAGGTAAATGCTCGGTGTTGGTATCGGCATTTTCAAGTAGGCCACAGACATGGACGACTGGGCATTGGGTCCCAGTGACATTCCTTTATCCAGGATGGAGGGGTGTTTAGCTCTAGGAGAGATGGAAGTGCATCATATTCTCTAACCTACCTGTGTCTGTGGTTCTTTGGGCTTCGGCCTGCTTGTTGTGTGCGACCAGCATTCAGTGTGGCAAATCCTCGACTTTGGAAGTAACCTTTCCTGGAGGTGAAAACGGGCAAGTACCCGTAGCTCACAGGGACACTCAAGGGCAACGTAACTTTCCGCAGTGTGAGGGCAACGGTTTGTAGGCACTTATGCAAACCAATCCCTGTCTCTGAGCATGGACGGTATGGTTATCTTGAGTGTGGGGGGTTTTTCCCGGAACCTCAATTGAGTCAAGGGTGTCGCCACCTCTGGTGGATAGGTTCATCCGGGTGGGTCCCACTTCTATA